GCGTAAATTATTAGCCGGAACTGTGTCCGTGTAAATGGAAAATAACATACTTATTTCGTAATGTAGAAACAAGCGACAATTTAATTGCCCCTTCATTAACCTCGATAATCTTGAATGCAGCATTAAGCGATTGGCTAAATTAAGCATTAAGCTCTTTTAATCTCGATCTTATCACAGGCTGCATCAGTTGCAAGAAAGCAGACGGCAATTTTATTCTTCCATTACCAACCTCGATGATCTCGACAGTAGCGATTAAACACTTTTAGTTTGTCGTCCGAAATGTCACCTGATCGTCGATTACCAAACATAAACGCGACGTCCACGAAATGCGTTCACGCTGCGAAAGCAGCGCGAAACGATGATCCAAAAATTCATGGAAATTTATGAATGTTCCGGTAAACATTTTCATTTTATTGTTCAATTGTTATCACTAAGAGGGTGGCACACACTTTCGAAACGCAGTGTACACACGGGGACCGCGCGGTTCGTCCGGTACGTCCGCGGTTTTGTTTCGGGAAACGCTGTAATTTGTCGAGCATTCCGAAAAAAACGCGCTCGATAAAGAATATCGACGGGCAGCGTCGGGCTCCGTGGCCCCTCATTTACGTTCCGAATCGTTTGCTTTGTTCGCCCGTTAATCCGGCGAGCCCGTGACAAAATTCTGTGTACATTTTTATTCGCGCCGCTCGGCCGGCCTGTGTTCGCGCGGCGAAACCGGCGCGGCGGGAAAATGAAATTTCATAGCGAACGGGAACTCGACGGCGGCAAAATCGGCCGAAGGTAAATAAAACGAAAACTGACGGGGAAAAAAAATAGAGGACTCGCGAGGGTCGATCCTATCGAGGTTTGGGCGGCGGGTGGCCGGTGGGTGCTTTTTACGTATTCGTCACGCATCCGGAACGGTCGCGTGCCAGAAATATCGAATTCGGGGTAACGCGGTTCCCCTTATTACTTGCGCGCGCGAAAAACGAATTTTCTTTGATCATTCCTCGAATTGACGAGGCGCTGAAAGGCAGTCGGGAGCGGGCTAAAAATTCAGACGGTCCTGGAAACCCCCGTCGGATACCATGGTATTTATTTCTGCCATAGAACTGCAGCAGGGGTGGCGAAACTATGACACAATCGCTGGACCGAATACTGCGGTGGCATAAACTTCGCGAATTTTATTCTGCGAAGCTACGATTTCAAGCCGGTTGAAATTGTTTGGGTAGGGTAGTGGAGCCAGTTACTGTGGGCTAGCCAATTTGTTTATTTTCAAGCATAATTGAATTCATATTTATCGAATAAGACATTACATTTTTTTTATTACAATAAAGTCTATTATTTGTTTGTTAAAATTAAATATGTAAGAGGTAGAAGTTCTTAAAATACTAGAAAAATTATTTGAATTTTTCGGTATTGAATTCAAGGTCAATTTGAATTCAAGGTCAATATTCAGTAAAATGAATCGTTATAGGTAAGATATCACAATATTAATTTCATTGATAAAACGTATCAAGATTATGGAAAAACAAAGCAGCGATAATTTATTCATATTTTTGGTTTTCATTTTTCATTTCGGTAGTTTACCTGCTGTGCACAGTAACTAAACCAATTTTTCACCCGACGCGTTAGTCACTGTGCCGTTTACCACGGGACAGGCCTACGTAACCTCAAAACTGCGAATGTTCGCTAATTTTCCCGTTGGAATACACGTCGCAGCAAATGGGACATTTTTAAATATGTTCGAACAATGAATTAACGTGCCGGCGGAAGCAGAACAAAAAATACATTTCAGCGAGTCGAAAATGTGGGACGTCAGGCTGAGAAATTGGACGGCAGATTTTTATTTGCCGGGAAGACGCATGGCACGGAACAAATAACGAGGACACACAATTAGCGAAATAAGAGAAAAACGGAGGACTGCAGGTTGCGCGTGATGGATGAGAGGAATAGTTGAGAAATGATGGATAACAAATGTTCAGGCTGACTCCGGGGAGGAGGGGCCGGAGCGAGGTGAGCGAGATGGGTATCGGTGTGATGGATAGAAAATTCGAGACGGAAATAACGAGAGCCCGTCGTAAACAATAAGTTAATACGCCTCCTCTCCGGCTGCGTCTGGGAACATGATTAAATGGAATTGGTGGTCCAGAGGCAGAAGTAAGGAGAAAGGATCATTGTCAACGTCTTAAAGAACTCACTCCCGGATAGCCGCGGTTCAGATGGCAGACGGGAATGCCGGGAGCAGGGAACGAATCTCATAATATACAATTTAATAACAAGAAGTTCGCTGTAATCAGGGCTGCGTGAAGCCTTGGAGTGTCTCGATCGCTGACGTTAAGCGGCTTGCGTCCGGCTCCGGCAAAAATGGGATGGGTGACCGCTCATAAAAGTATCCTCTCTCTCGTCTCTTCTGGTTTCTTCTCCTGCAATTTGCTGCGGTGGATTCGGTGGATGTATTGACGGAGGGAAGCTCCGGCGAAAACCAGGCTTTTCCACGCGGCAAACATTATGGGACGAAGGAAAATTCTTCGGGATGCTTTATTTGTTGCAGCAATGCCGCGGGGATCGACGAGGTAGAAAAAGGATCCGAACGGATTTTCTCTAATTCGTTCGTTTTCTGGACTTCTGTAATTATGGTTGGGTTCGACGTGTGTAAGCGTTTAGGTTCAGGTATCAAACGACAAAGTCCTGCGATAATTCGATCGACAATGCTGATCGACAGTCTTCCGAGTCAACTGTCATTGAACTTTGAATGTCCTCAGGTTCTCCGAATCTTCATTCCCTATAATTGAAGTTGGTTCGACGTCCGAGATGATATCCCAAGTTCTAATCCTTTAAACAGTCTTTCCAGACCCGTTTGGCCCCGAACTTAGGATGTTCATAGATTCACGAAACCCCTCCGCTGTAACCAAGATTGATTCGATGCGTCAAGATAAGTATCTAGGTCTCCGAAAAGAGACAATAAAGTCGTGCGATAATTCGATTGACAATGCTGATCGACAGTCTTCCGAGTCAACTGTCATTGAACTTTGGACGTCCTCAGGTTCTCCGAATCTTCTTTCCCTATAATTGAAGTTGGTTCGACGTCCGCGATGATATCCCAAGTTCTAATCTTTTAAACAGTCTTTCCAGACCCGTTTGGCCCTGAACTTAGGATGTTCATAGATTCACGAAACCCCTCCGCTATAACCAAGATTGATTCGATGCGTCAAGATAAGTATCTAGGTCTCCGAAAAGAGACAATAAAGTCGTGCGATAATTCGATTGACAATGCTGATCGACAGTCTTCCGAGTCAACTGTCATTGAACTTTGGACGTCCTCAGGTTCTCCGAATCTTCTTTCCCTATAATTGAAGTTGGTTCGACGTCCGCGATGATATCCCAAGTTCTAATCTTTTAAACAGTCTTTCCAGACCCGTTTGGCCCTGAACTTAGGATGTTCATAGATTCACGAAACCCCTCCGCTATAACCAAGATTGATTCGATGCGTCAAGATAAGTATCTAGGTCTCCGAAAAGAGGCAATAATGCAGATCGCCTTTGATAGCTTCTCGATATACCTAACACACATGAATCGATTAACTCGAGGTCCCCGATAAACCCCTAAAACCCGAGCACCAAGGACCCGGAGAGCACCCTCCATTGCATATTCGCGTCTCGATTCTAGTCTCCGCGTTCACGCGCTTATGAACGTCGGCAAGTTCTCAGGTATCCCGAAGGCGGCGCCCGTCCAACACTAAGGCGCAAACAAGTCTGATTGGACGTCTCGAACCCCAGAGCGACTATCTTGCGACTACACCGGCGTTTATGCCGAACTTATAAGCGCGTCGTCATTGACTTAGGTTAATGACGTCGTTAAGGGATCCCCGAGCTCGGTCAAACTTCCCGGGGTTTACGCGCGCAATAAGGGCGCGCAGAGCTTAGAGAAACCTGATCGGTTCTCAGCGTCATTAGGGTCTGTCAACGTTTATTTCCTAAAAGACAAAATCGGCGCGTGTAAAAAGAAAGCAAACGAGTGCCGGCGGAAAAAGGTGAGAAAATCTGCCTAAAAGGTTGTTCCAGGCTGCTCCGAATGTAACTGGAGATATCCGGCCGGCGAAAGCTGCGACGGAAAAAACTGGGGAAGATCTGTAGGTGTAAAAGCAGCTACAGAGAGATAGATATAGAGAGATAGAGAGAGATAGAGGAGAGAAGACAGGCGCCGAGCAAGGACAAGGGAAATCCTCGCGCGGAACGAGGCACCTGTATCAAAGCGCTGTTTTGCCGGCGTACACGGCAAGAGGGAATGAAGAATCTCCAAAGGCAAAGAAAATGAAAACAAATGCCCGGCAGGGGTGGAGTAGGGGTAGGACGAGGGCGCGAGCAGGATCGTTGCCGGGAGTCGGAAGAACCCGAAACGGCCGCGGAGTGTCCGTGGGGCGGGGGAACGCGTGTTCGAAAACACGGACACCTATCCTGATCAAGAAAGATCGAGAAAGCAAAGGGGACGCGGAGAAACAGAAACGGTTCGAGCAGCGAGAGCGAGAGAGAGAGAGAGAGAGAGAGGGAGAAAGGGGGTTCGTGGGGTTGGAGATTCGAAAAGGGAGAACGAGAAAGAGAGCAGGCTGTGGAGTGGGAGAGAGATCGAGCCGGGAGGAGTAGGAAGGAGAGAGCGTCGGATAGCGAGAGAGAGAAAGAGAGAGAGCGAGAAAGAGAGAACGGGAGAGAGAGAGAGAGAGAGGATGTGGTTCGGGTCGGGAGCGCGAGAGAGACGGGGCGAGAGGATCGCAGAGAGGAGAGGGAGTAGCAGGAGACCCGAGGCTGCGGCGTAGCCTCAGTGCCGGCGCAGTGGCCGGGCCATCGTGTCCTGTGCCCAGGTTTCCGTGCTCTCTTTTCTCTCCGATCCTGCTCGGCAGCCGTCGTCGATCCTCCAGAGAGAAGATCCTTGGACCGTGGTGACGCGAGCAGCTTCCTGGCTCCCGAAGCCTTCCTCCCCGCCGCGTCGCGTCGCGCCGCGCCGCGTCGCGCCGCATCGCATCGTTCCAGGATAGTTCCCGAGGAAGTGTGACATAGCAAGCGTAGAAGAGGTCCTGCCGCGAAGGACCTCCCGCTGGTGCCTCGCTCTTCCAGCGTATCTCTCGCTCCGTTCGCGGCTGGCTTGTCCAGGTTTTACCGGTGGATTCGGTTCGGCGGACGCGTGAACACGCCTCGCGGCTACGTAGTGCTACCCTCGCTGAGTGAACAGGACGAACGGACGAAAGGACACCCTGCCGGGCAGCAGCGGCCGGGAGGATCACAGGCCGAAGAGGTGGGAGCCATGCCGCCCGGGCGAGCTTCCCTCGAGGTAGCCAGGATCGTCCGGCATCCCCGTCCTTACGGTGTACTGCGTTCGCATCGCCTCTTTTGAGGTAAGGCCATTACTGTTCTTTATCTCTCTATCTCTCTCTTTCTCTCGCACTCTCTCACTCTCTTTCTCTTTCGGTCTGTGCCGACACTCTCAAAGCTCTGTCACCATGCGCGTCACCGCCGCGTCCTCGAGGACCCGACTCGATGCTCCCTGCGGGCTGCGAGTATCATTCTTCGGCCTATTACCAAGCAGTCCGGATTCTGGACTCCGGAAAACCCGGATCCCTGCTTTGCGACTCGCTTTATCCCGACGGAGATACCTCTCGGGGTGTAACCGAGCTTCCCAGTACCTCGGCTTCTCCAGTGATCGAGCTTTTTCAGGAGCCGAGGCTTCTTAGTATCCAGTCTTTCCCAGCATCCAATCTTCTCCAGTGTCTTCTACGGTATCCAAATTCCGCGAGCTCGCAAAGTCGATTCCTTGAACCGTGATATCGATGGTCGACGCGATCAAGCGAGACCGCTCTTGCTCGGTCTACCAGGGGTTATTGGGTGTAGGTTGATAGGTCGCCGAAGATGCCGCGGAGGGCAACGACGTTCTAGGGTCAAAGCTCGACCCCGGCGTCATCGAGCAGCCTCTGTTGACATTCGGCCGCACGGCGAGGCTTCCGGCTAGGTTGGCCAGCCTGTCGATGCGGCGACGAGCACCTGTTCCAGAAACACTGGAACTTCTGCCGTGGCTCCCGTTCGATCACTGGCGTAAACATTAGGGATATACGAGAGAGAGAGAGAGAGAGAGAGAGAGAGACGGTTCAGGCTCGTTTCGCGAGTGAACGTTCGAGGATCTGTGCTCCATTTTCGCCGTGGGAGGAGAGAGAGAGAGAGGCGACGGTTCTTTGCGGGCTGCGGCGATCGAATCCTGGAACTGCGTCTCGAACTAGTAAATCTTAATAGAGCTGCTCTTTCTGACGCCGTAGTGATTCATGGGATTGTGGTTCGTTCTGCACAGTGGTCGATTAAGGTGTTCTGAGATGCTTCTTCGGTGATCGATTGCTTCTGCTGCTTCTGTTTTCGGTGCAAGAAAGCCAATCGGAGAGCTTTTACTACCGAGGATGTATTTACTTTCGCTGGGAAATTTACTATGAACGTGAACATGATTCCAGTGAATCTAAGGGGAACTCGATGTTTGCTCGACAGGTAGTCGGTTATGTATTTTGCGGAGCTGTTCGGGTTTTTGGCAGTGGATGTGATCTCAGGAATGTGAATAATATTTGTTTATAGGGATGTTTCTCTTTGGTAGATTTGTTACGCGATAGCGTAGAATCTTCTATAGAACTTTTCATACTTCTGTTTCAATCGGCTCTTTTGCTGGATAGTCGAAACACGAAGAAAAGGTATATTCTTGATTAGGGAAGTTTTGTTTTACCTTTCTAGATGAATAATTTAAAATTTCGCTCAGGGACGATGCAATTATGGTCTCTTAGGATTTAACTTTTGCGTAGAATATAATAGAACAATGCGATTATCGTTCTTGGATCTTAAATTATGTATAGATGAAATATTATTTATTATAGATTAAATATAATTGAACTAAATATAACTATGATTCTTAGAATTAAATTTTGCACAGAGTATAATTAGACGATGTAACTATGGTTCATGGAACTTAAATTGGGTATAGATTAAAATTAAACTAAATATAACTATGATTCTTAGAATTAAAATTTCGCACAGAGTATAATTAGACGCTATAAATATGGTTCATGGAGCTTAAATTATGTGTAGAATATAATTAATCTAAATATAACTATGATTCTTAGAATTAAAATTTCACACAGAGTATAATTAGACGCTATAAATATGGTTCGTGGAGCTTAAATTGTGTATAGAATATAATTAATCTAACTATAACTATGATTCTTAGAATTAAAATTTCGCACAGAGTATAATTAGACGCTATAAATATGGTTCATGGAGCTTAAATTATGTACAGAATATAATTAAACGATAGAACTATGATGCTAGAACTTTCTAAAACCGTGTAACAATAATTAGTATAAAAGCCGAAAGCGCAGCGAAGCTTGGAGCGCGATATTTTGAATAAAATTGGAATCGTTGAATGAAATGTCGATGACCTTTTGACAGTAATGATCGAAATGTCAGGGCGACGAAGAATTTCCGCGGCACTTTACAGCCGAAATTAACTGGGAGGCCAGTCTCCAGCGGACATCGTCGAGTAATTATCGCGGTTCGGTGCTCAGTTTTTTCACGAAATAGTTGAAGTTCGCCCGGTAGGAACTTTTTATTCGCCGTTCACGGCACTGTGTCGTCACCGGGGCTACGGGTTCGGCGTGTCTCTTCGCCGTGTCTACCGATGTGTCGGTGCACTTTTATGCACACCGATTACCAGCGTACAACGGCGGGTTGGTTCGGTTTTATGTCGGTGGTGAGATACATCAAAATGTGGGAATGTTCCGAAGTATTCGCGGAACGCTCCGCGGAATTCGCCGGAAGGGAATAAAACAGCGAAGCAAATGTTCCAGGCGGGTTTTCTTTATTTTCGGGTGGGGGAACGTTAATTATACAAATTGTACTCGCTCGCCCGAGTTCTTCCCATTGACGGCCAAAAAAAAAAGGAAACGTTCCGTTCCATTAATTCCTGTATTGTTGGCAAATTGCACGCTCGAGCGCGCCAGCTGAAAACATTTCCACAGCCTTCTGAGAACCCTTATCAAGTACCGTGTAACGTTCTTGTAAATGTCTACGGAGCAGGAAATGTTTTAATTTCAATTTTTCTAATTTTCTATTAAATTACAAATTCTTGCTCTCGTTCCATTCGAATCACGGTTTTCTAAAGTAACATGCACGATTAACAAAAGACTACGAGTGAAATTTTGTTCATATTTAACGTGTACGTTCCAGTAGACGTCACTGTGAATAATAAATAATGATTGTGTTGCTGGGATCATTTTTTATTTGTTTATTTGAGGCAAGGAAAGACGTCAAAACACACCCACAGTGTTCAGTTAGAAAAAAATAAGAAAATATTAAGAAAATATACTAAATAGAAGCTTAATCGTTAAATAATAAAATGTGGTGAAGCGGATTTCAATATCTGGTCCCAATTTCCCGTTAAAAAAACTCCAAAAGGAATTGTTTCGTTGCTTTTTCAGCTCCACGTGTATCAAACCCTGTCGGATCTTCGTGCAAACTAGCCATTTTCCAGGACTATTGTCCTTTCAATTAAATCACGATCCTTTGAATAATTTTGATAAGTTGAAAATAGCGTAAGAATGTTATTAAATTCTTCTACAGTGCCTTTATAATTTTATATTCCAGTTATATAATTTTATACCAGAAATGCATAAGATCTACTAATCGTGCATCTCCCGATTGCACGATGCAGTTCGAATAGCTTCAGGAATTTTGGGAACGAATGAAGGCGGGTCGGAGGGCTCGCGACGATTCCGTGATTTGAAATCGAAGAGCGGGCCCGGAGGAACCGTTTCCCCGCGGAGCCGTACCCGGAGAACAATGCCGCGAAAATCGGTGGTCCGCGACGCTCGGCAGACCAGCCTTATTTATTTTTAAAGGCCCTCGACGGCATCGGCTCGCGCCAGACCCAACACAAACAGAGCCGTATTTATAGAAGTCAGACACGCTCTCTCTCTCTCTCTCTCTCTCTCTCTCGGCCCGTCGTCGTTGTCGCGATCGAGCGTCGGCGAACGGAAGTGCGCAACGCCGAGGCGCGCTATTAAATTCCTGAAGCGGCGATGCGTCGGGAAATATTCCACGGCGATATTCTGCCGTTTCGCGTTTTCACCTGACTTCGATACATTCGTCGAAAATTTCCTCGCTGCTGCTCTCCGCGTCCCTCCGATCCCACGGATTCATTGGCCGGGTCGTAATGACCCGTTCCGAGCTTTTGTTTCGCCGGAATTACAGCGGCGATTCTCGTCGGAGAAGCTGCCGAAAATCGTTTCGTATGGTTCAGGGAAAAGTCAAACTTGAAGCTGTGCACTTTTGCCTGTTCTATATTATTTCATCGTTTAATTTTGCCGCTTCGTTTTTATGCCGTGTGGTATGTACAGCTAGAGCTGTTGGAAAATTCTGTGAAAATTTGAGCAGACACCTTGAGGCATGCGAATTGAAGCTACACTGTTTAAATGTTCGGAAGATGTCGGGGAGATTAGGTTATTTGTGAATGTGTTTTGTGAAAACTGTTTGGTCGCTTCGATCGAAGACACACGCAATAGTCGTATTATTATAACTTAGTGAAAAAAAATCGTACGACAGTGTAGCTTGCCTTGTTTTAAAGGGCGAAGTATGTATTTCGACCACCTTGGCCTCATTTTTCTGGTACATTTCTTTAATTCACGCAGCGGACAGGAAAGTGGACATACTTTTTCGTCTCGACAATTCTTCGAATTCAATCGTCTCTATAGATCTTGAAAAATTTTTCTCGCGGTTGAAACTTCAACTGTTTTAAAGGCTGAAGTCTCCTCTTTACAACGGTGTCCTCGAAGTTAATGTGCGATTTTTTTTCTCAGATTTATCGACACTGACGCAATGTGACCTCTCCGCGTATGTATCGTACATTAATCCAAGGCATATCTTTCATTCAAAGTCGAATAAAACGGTAACAAAAAATCGTACATCAACTTTTGATATGTCATTGTAAAGAGGAAACTCCATTCTTTAATCTTATGGTGACATCTGTTAAGAAAAAAATTTTCTAACGACCGCAGAGACGTTTAAATTCGTCGAACTCTGAAAACGAAAAATTGCCTTCACTTCCCCTAAAAAAGTACTTGCCACACCGTATAGAACTATTTTCGAGAAAAATAAATACTGTATACTTAAAGCTGAAGTTTCACGCTTTAAAACGAGCCAAAGTACACTGTCGCACGATTTTTTCCCGCTGAGTTATCGAAGCCCGACCCTCTGCGATTTCGGATCTAGATATTTTTAAAGGAATTCGAGTTTTCGATTACGCGGAGGAGCAGATTGCGTTCGACCGAGGTCATTGGTCGTTTCTCAGACGGTTTACTCGCCGATCTATCCG